AGACAATATTCTACACTTTCAGCAACTGTATAGGAAATTGTTTACATAAGTCTACTGTGAAACACACTGACAATCCTTAATCACGTCGGACAGTTTGTCTACGAGGATCTGCTTTTTTCCTCTCAATTTTACAGGGATCTCAAAACGACTACAGATGGCTCGCAACAAAACCACAGTGAATTTCTGAAGTGTGTTACTGTGGTAACGTTCACAGAGGTCATGCGTGTCGTAGCAGATTGGATGCGAGACTTTGATCTCTTTGATAACTTTGTCTACCAGATCTTGTCTCTCGGAATTCTCCTGGACGCATTGGACATCTTCCTGCTCGTCCAGCGATATCCCTATCACACCCTGATCTTTGCTCTGAACTTGGCTCTTTGTCAGCCACTGTTCTCTGGTGAACAAACGTGCATTTGTTTAACTTTTCGCATTTGGCATGTCCACTGCAACTTGGGCGGGGTCTGCCTTTCGCCCAGTTCTTTCTCCAAGTGTAAACCGTGCCGTTAGGTATTTTTTTACATTCTCTGAAAATCTAACACTGCCCCTCGGTTTGCTTACGGCCCATCTTGTTCGTAGAGGCGAGAGGGGCGAAGTATCCCCAGGAGAAGTGAGTGGTATACTGGAATCCGACGAACAGCTCGAACACTCGATACAAGCGGTATCTATTGACGAGAACATAAGGGCCCAGTCCCTTTTGATTGCATCATACTGGCTTAACCTGCTGACTCTATGCTTTCCAACGTCCAGATGCAGCTCTAGTTGCGAAAACGGTTCGAACACTTCAACACACCTAAGCAGAGAGCATTCAAACAATGGCGTTGTACTCTCTGTTTCCTTGCTGTCCTTTGAACGACGCTTTACCACACGCTTTTCAGGAGGATCATAAAACCCTTGAGATTCTATGGTTTGAAGGGACGTTTCACCTTGGTGCTTGATATATATCAAGTCATATGGGATGTACTTCCCTTAACCGATGCCATAACATTTCCAAACTCTCAGACCGGTATCTCCATATTCAAAGCTGTGGAAGCTACTGAAATGCTCAATCTTATTTATACAGAGAGTGTTCTTTGATTCTTGGACTGTGTTAACTGCAGCGGTTGTTCCCATCACTGGGTGTTGCGTCAATGCATCTCTCGTGTCCACGGCAGTTAGAACATCGTGCCCTTCGTTGCAGTAAGCGCGAATAGAGGACTTCATTTGGCAGAGGATACAATCGCAAATGTCTTTACCAGACTGCAGCTCCGAGTAGTGATAACTATGAACTTCAACCCCAACTCCTTTTGCGACATCTTTCACAGCGGTTACTAGGGAGCTGTTATGATAGCAACCGGCTTCATCTGACCTCAGATGAACTTTCTGCAGCAAAGGATTCTTGACTTTAAGCTGCTTTAGAAGATCTTCGAGAATTAACGTAACTGCATATCAGTCCTGAGTACACTGATCAAAGAGGTGAGCGGACGATATGACTTCCCTCGTGGGAAAATTCTAACTTTCTTGGCAAACTAGAAAGATTTTTAAGCAATCTGATATAAATTCGGTGGCTTAACTATGCGAATCAAATATTTTACAATGTTACAAAATATGCCTATTTTTCAATTTTCGAGACGTTGCGACGGTCCCGACATACTGGGAAACAATTATGGCCCCTAACGCAGTCAGAAAATTATTTCGAAACAAACCAAATCTAATTTAGTTCTTTCCTAAGTAAAGTCTCTCTGTTGACAGAGTTTCAGGCAAAATTATTTTTGACGCGAAATTGACCGGGTGGAAATAAGAGAGACAGCCTCTTAAGAGAGTGTCTCTGTAAGAGCGATCTGGTCGATTTTGCTTGGGACACAAATTTCCCTCGTTGCTTGTGTGCTGTAATACATTCAGGTGCCTATACTAAAACCACAATCCATTTGATCGGATTTCTTTATTTTTCAGAGTTTTACGGAAATTAAATTTCACTCAAGCGAAGGTCTGTCGTGACACTTTTCAAGCCTTTAATCTGAGACAACTTTGGAGGGCAATTAAAAAAAAACTACGGAACTCAGAAAAAGAAATACCAGGGCCATGTATATTTACTCTATCTTATCCATCGGGGTGACTTTCGTGAACATCACATTTCAATCAAGGAAACAGGAAGACCTCAGTGACACCTTATCCGTTCGCTTAAGTCACGCACGCGAAAACCCAATCAAATTCAAGGTAAGTTTTTGAAAAAGTGAGGCGTTCTTAACTAATCCAACTAACACAGCTAGGAAGTAGATGCCATAAAAAAAGGTAAATACAGAAAAAAACTTTGCGTCCCGACCTCTGCGAAAACTTTATAACTCCGCGAACTTACTTGATTTTCGGCAATCTCTAGCTTTGGCCGCCATTTTGAGGGACTCGTCAACACGAAGCGTTGCAGATATAAATCGAGCAGGTAGATCTAAAACCGTCAGAAATACATACGAAAGCAATTTAAATGATCTTTTCTTTCAATTCAAGTGGTAAAATTTGCAATTGTTTGTTAAACTTACCATTCCTACATTCCCATGCGACCATTTCTTCCGACAATTCAAACACTACAACTAGTGTTCGAATTCCCCTTGTCGATGTCACCATAAGAAATAACCTGAGTGACCCAAGCTTCGACTTGAATGTGAAGCACGAATCACATAACACAACTGCTTCATCTTCGACGCAATATCACGCTGGATTTTTTATTTTCTGATCGGCAAGAACAGCGATCTCGAAGTGATATCGATCCCCATGTTTACCTCATAAACGGACCGCTGACCAGCCGCTAAGTGAAAACAGTACGGCTCAGTGGCGAGGGGGAGGGTATGGGGTGGGTGTGGGCAGATTATCAGATTTTTGGGAACATTCGAATATATTCATTAAAGTATCATAATATG